ACCAAAAATGTGAATGCTTCTTATTGCATAAAAGAATTTGCCCTTGAAAACTGAACTGTCCAGTCTAGAAGGACTATCGTGATCGAAATAGTTAAAAAAACATCAGTATCAACGTAATTAATATCAAATGGTTTTCGATAATTTGCATACCCATGAGAGGCAGTTTTGCAGATAGATCAAATGGGCCATCGGTGATATTTGCTTTCGGAAGTCCAGTAGTTGCTGCTACGGTGACCAGGCCGTTGGGATGAATAAGGTCCTTAGGGCTGACCGGAAGGATCCTTGAGGATTCTAGACATGGCTGGCCAGATAAGCCAATCTGGGTCATCGGCTCATCATCGGCTCCCAAAAAACCTTCCTCTGTGCATACTCTCTCTTCCTCTATTGTTATCTCCTTTCGCATCTCTCTCTCTTCCGGTAATTCTGAGGCTTGTTCTTTACCTATTGCATCGCTATGGATGCCAACAGAAGAGATGCAGTTTCGCCATATGTTGTAAAGCCCGAGCGCCGAACTCATACACCTTGATGGGGTCTCGGTTCCAAGGACCATTGACTCAGTAGTAGGACGACACGAGGAGGTAAAATCACTCGAGATAGCAGTAATTTTGGAGGGCCGTGTACTATTGATGCTGCCGTGGCAGTCAATGCTATTGCTGTTGCTGCAGCAGTCGTCAAGAAGTCGCGAAATGAAATTACCTTCTATAGGTTCGCTGATTGCGGCAAAGGTAGAAGAAGATGAAGAAGAGGGACATCTTTCGGCTTCCATTTCCTCTGTCAAGAGGGCAGCGGATAAGCAATTCTCAGTAGTATTTATACCAGTAAATGAGGTAGTAGTGTTAGTAGAACACCTAGTAAAAGGTAAGGAATAAGGATCTTTGATATAACCACAAGATAGAGCTTCCGAAATAAGGGCAGAAGTATTCGAGTCGGTCTGCGCCAACCCGACAGAAGCGCTATCAGATGAGTCTATTTTGTATGGACCTCTGGAGATGTGGGTATCAGAAATCGAATTGAGGCCAGTCGTACATCCAGTGGCAGATGAAGATGAGTTAAGTCCGAAAGCAAAGGAAGCAAGCGGTGGTGATAAACGACTGGAAGAAGTCGTAGGGCTCGGATAGGAAGAGATGGATTCGAATTCCGGTGCCAGATGAGACAGTCGATTCTCTAACACAGAAGAATGTGGTCTGTGATATTTGGCTGTTAGAGAACATTTGTCGCCATCCGAGCTTTCGGAACATTGTGTCTGCTGCTGCTGACTTTGCTGTTCCGCCATCGCTTTTTCCTTTTGACCTCTATTGTAGCATACTAGCTCGTCGGCTTGGTGATGGTGAGGGTCGGGATGATGCGGACGACGGTATCGACGGCTAGCCCCACTGAATGAGGAAGAGCGTCTCGAAAGCGGCGCTAGTGCGGCAGGATCTGTCAACGAGAATGGCTTTGGCAACTGTGGCCTAAGGGTTAATCCGGCTGGTGGGATCAGGTTTTGGAGAAGACCTGAAGCGAGACCTGATGAGCCGGTAGCGACTGCAAGACCACTGCAATTACGCACCGTCTCAAGATCAGCACCACCTAAAAGCTTGCGCAGTAGATTTGTGCTTTTGCCTGTGTCATTCCCACAAATTTTGCTATTAAGGCTATAGGAGACAGAAGCACCGCTGCCACTGAAACTTTGGCTGTTGGAAACAGAAGCAAGGCCTCTAGTACTACTTTTTCTACTGTTATCAGCTATGGGCTCATTTAGATGTATAACAGCCTCACTGGTCGGTGTGGACACCCGACTTTGAGGAATACATAGGATGATAGACGACTCTTGATCAGTGGTAAAAATGCCTTCAAAGATCCTATGCGGGCAATCTTTCTCCGTCTTCGAAGTCTCTTCTCCTTGCGGATCCACAGAAACCTTGCTCTCATCTTTTCTCCCTCTATTCTTCTCGTTTCCATGTTCATCCTTCTCTCTTTCCGAAGGCAGTACAGGAAATGTGGTCATCGGCGCCAGGTCGAAATCAGAAGTGTCGTGTCTTAAAAGTAACATACAGACAATAGTTTAAGTTATAATAATAAAAATGACGAAAGTGAATACAAAAATTAATATGAGCGATTAATGATAAAATATTAAATGGATCCATATAAGAAAGTAATTTTATTTTTCAGAGGTATAAGCGAAGACAAGTCGTTTTGAGTCTATAGCCTGGCAAATGAAATCCGTTGCTTCAATGTGAGGTCGGATACAGATGCAAGGACCGAAGGCCTGTTTTTTTGCTCTAAAGAATGTGTATGAGATGATAAAAAAGAAATCGGAATGAAAGAAGAAAAACCTAAAATATTATGGATATACCAGTCCCAGATAATTCCGTTTTCCTCATGTAAATCAAGTTCTCTTACTAATCCTGAGGACTAAAATATGTAAACTTGTCAAAAAGTTGAGTTCTAGCTTGGTGGTGAAAATTACAGGAATCAGTGACGATGCTGATGAAACGTCTGGGAATGTTGCAAATCCACGGTCAGACTTCGGAAATTATGATAACTACTATAGCAGAAGACTCCAAACGAGGAGTGTCCAAATAAGTCAACCTGACGACTCGATCCAGTTGAGAAAACTAGGTGGGACAACTTCTTTATATTGAAAGGAGACTGTGAACAAAATAGGGACCACAACATCTTGGTTTTCGTATCTATGTTTAAAAAAGTAGTGAGTCAATAAAGCATAATACTTGTAGTTCTTCACCATCTACTATACAGCAATTTCCTCAAACATGGTCTGAGGTAAGCTTAATAGTAAATGAGGTAAAGTATGTTGATTCGGCACTTTTTGATATTGGCGAAAATAAATGAATAAATAGTGCATTTTCGTACCACATAAACAAGAAAACAAAGAAACATACTTAGTAAGAGATAAATTTATATTTTTATTGACAGACGAATGAATAAATTTGAAAAATAATGAAAAATCGATTTAAAATACTCATTTGAAAAAGCCCTTCTAGTATAGATAGCAAGCGATGTTGTGTATACTCTTTAAATCAAGAACCATGATCTAGGAAAAATTAAAACCGATGTTCTAAGAATTATTAGTTTAGGAATGTATAAATTAGCCTGTAATAGTGAATTTATACGATACTAAATTATTCTTGAACGAAAGCAACAAAACAGTACTGGTGGGTGGCTAAGTGATAAAAGTAAAACCACTTAAAGCCCTAAGTGATAAAATCGCTATCTGGCAAGTTAATCCACAACCCTAACTAATATGCTAAGGTAAATAATAAAACAAAATAAAATAATAGTCTGAAATAAGCGAAAATAGATTAAGTTATATAGAGTGGCATAAAAGAAAGCTCATTATAGTAATTGCGAGAAACCGAGGCTGGAAACCTGGTCTGGGTATCGTGAATATGACAAACAATAGATTTTTTCCGTAAATATAAAGACCAAGATTGTGCGGCCTTTAGCTGCATAGTCTTGGATTAACTTCGTCGCTCCAAGTAGAGATCTTGTGAGAGGTACCTAGTTCTACGTCTTCTGTCATAGTATTCGTGATTTCCAGCATGGGACCAGTGACTTGGTACACTCCAAGACATTTCGTCGGCATCGTAGTCGTCATTGTTAGTGAGAGGCGTCATCCTCAGTATAGAGTTACAACTTATCAGTGACCAACTTTCTGTTCAACCATTGTGGCAATACTCCACGTCCCTATTTTTGCCCTAGCCTCTAGAGCTAAATCTATTTCTCTCAAACCCACTTCATATGGCTTACCGACCTAGCTATACCATTATCTACTCTCC